TTCCACATTAAAGAGTCTTTCTAAGTGTTCCAAATCTATCAGTTAGGGTGGCTGCAGGACATGAAGCCCCAGGGCAGTCTAACATGCCTATCTTCCACTCCTGTGTATGTCCATGGAAAATCTGTAAAACAGTAGATTGTCCCAGCCTGGGCAACATGGCGAAACCCATCTCTACCAAAAAAATATAAAAATTAGCCAGGCATGGTCACGCATGCCTGTAGTCTCAGCTACTTAGGAGGCTGAGGTTAGAGGACTGCTTGAACCCTGGAGGCAGAGGTTGCAGTGAGCCAAGATCATGCCACTGCACTCCAGCCTAGGTGACAGAGTGAGACCCTGTTTCAAAAAAAAAAAAAAATAGTAGACTGTTTTCTAACTTCTTCCTTCCCCTCCCACACACCTCCACCAAGGGTTAGATTCCAAATATACTTGGGCACAATATTCACTAGGCAGAAGGGATTCTGAGTTCACTACTTTCTCCACATTGTCCCCCTATTTCTCAGATCCAGTGTCATTTTAAATATCCAACAATTACATTAAGAATCACAAAACTCCTTGGACTTGGTTAGGTGGTACAGCCACCCATTTTTGTAATCAGCCCAGAATTTCAGGCCTTTTTCAATCAAAATATAGAAGGATCATGGGAGCTTAATATTCTACTGAAGCATGAATTGGTTGAGGCAAAATAATGGCATTACCTCTGACCATGCATGGAATTACTCATCATTTCATCATTGCAGAATACTCCAAAGAATATTCTGTAGTTATGCTCATGAACTCTCATCCAGAAATTATGCTGCATGGTATACAATCCTACAAGATTTTGCCTCTGTTGATCACATAGTATGCAACAAGTTGAAGGTGGTTGTCCTGATTTCAGGTCTCTCCTTGGAGAGATCTTATTTGACCCTACAATCTAAACTAGTCACTGAGTCACCCTATCATATCACTCTGTTTAAATTCTCTGCATAGGCTGGGCATGGTGGCTCACACCTGTAATCCCAGCACTTTGGGAGGCCAAGGTGGGTGGATCATGAGGTCAGGAGTTCAAGACCAGCCTAGCCAACATAATGAAACCCCATCTCTACTAAAAATACAAAAAAAAAAAAATAGCCAGGTGTGGTGACAGGCACCTGTAGTCCCAGTTACTTGGGAGGCTGAGGCAGGAGAATCGCTTGAACCCAGGAGGCGGAGGTTGCAGTGAGCCAAGATTGTGCCACTGCACTCCAGCCTGGGTGACATGGTGAGACTCTGTCTCAAAATTCTCTGCATAGCACATGCTGCTAAACAATATTTTTCTTGCTCATTTAATTGTTTGCCTACTGCTTGTCTCCTTCCACTAGGTAAAGGACCTACTCTATCTTATTTATTATGATATTCCCAGTGCCTAGAATAATTCTGGATGCCATGTAGTAAGCCCCCAGTATGTATATGTTAAGTGAACTAAATCAAGGTGTTACAATAGGAAATGGCAAAGGTTGCCTAGAACTTCCATGAGGCTACATTTAATGGTCAGAGAAAGCCTCCCTGTGGAGGTGATTTTTTGGGGAAACCTAGATAATGACATTTAGGTAAGAGTATAAGAGTTTGATCATTATGTTGGCCTGCAGATTTTAGTTTTCATATGAAACTGTTTTTTAAACAAAGGCCATTATAACTATTCTAAGAATGACCAGAAAAACTGTGAGACTGGCCAAGATTCCAACAGAACAGGTATAGGACCTAGACCTTCAGCGTGAGGTATAGGACCTAGACCTTCAGCGTGGGTTTAAAAGTGATAATAAGAAAAATCATTTTAAATGCCTCTCTAAACATTTTTCTTTTCAGTAATCCAGGGTTTTTTTAAGCCCTAAAACCCTATCCACCATTAAGATATGAGAGGAGAAGACAGAGGAAACACCCAGAACAACAAAGTCATCAGTGGAGGATTTCAAAACCATTGATGAAAGAAGTATCTACCAGATTGAGGAGAGGGCATGCACCCGTCCCGAGCAGCAGGAGAGCTTAGCAGGGAGCAAAGTGCACACCCTGCCTGGATTCTTTAGGATCTCAATGGTCCCACTCTGGACCCCTAAGATTTAGTCAGTGGAGGGGTTGAATGTGGAGCCAGAAATGAGGCAGAGAAGAGAGATAAGCTAGAAACCTCAAAGTGGCAAGTTGTGCCCTGGGTGGAAAAAGGCCCTCAGGCACTGCAATTCTTCTCTGGGGACAAGGGGGCAGACCACCACATCACACATAGTGCCTGCTGGCCTAAACCAGCATGGGGGGTTGCAGCGGAGGAGAAAGAAGCATGAGTTGTTAGAGGGGACTGTATTAGCCATCCTCAAGTTTCCTACACTTTCCCTTGCCCTATAGAAAAGAGCTAGAAGCTCCTACTTGTTCCTAGAGAAAGTCATAGAAGCTAAACAAGAGTCAGGAATCTATGATCTCATCTTTGGGTCACTACAGAGAGAGGTAAGATGATACTGAAGGCCTCATGTTACACAGGATAGGCCAGAAAGCTAATGGAGGACAAAACTGACATTTTATCAGCAGACACAGTGAGGATAGAAGTCAAGTGAGGTGATCCTCAAGCTGATAGGCAACTTCAGCAAAGTCTTAGGATACAAAATCAATGTGCAAAAATCACAAGCATTCTTATACACCAATAACAGACAAACAGAAAGCCAAACCATGAATGAACTCCCATTCACAATTGCTTCATAGAGAATAAAATACCTAGGAATCCAACTTACAAGGAATGTGAAGGACCTCTTCAAGGAGAACTACAAACCACTGCTCATTGAAATAAAAGAGGACACAAACAAATGGAAGAACATTCCATGCTCATGGATAGGAAGAATCAATATCATTAAAATGGGCATACTGCCCAAAGTAATTTATAAATTCAGTGCCATCCCCATTAAGCTACCAATGACTTTCTTCACAGAATTGGAAAAAACTACTTTAAAGTTCATATGGAACCAAAAAAGAGTCCACATTGCCAAGACAATCCTAAGCCAAAAGAACAAAGCTGGAAGCATCATGCTACCTGACTTCAAACTATACTACAAGGCTACAGTAAACAAAACAGCATGGTACTAGTACCAAAACAGAGATATAGACCAATGGAACAGAAAAGAGCCCTTGGAACTAATACCACACATCTATAACCATTTGATCTTTGACAAACCTGACAAAAACAAGAAATGGGGAAAGGATTCTCTATTTAATAAATGGTGCTGGGAAAACTGGCCAGCCGTAAATAGAAAGCTGAAACTGGATCCTTTCCTTACTCCTTATACAAAAATTAACTCAAGACGGATTAGAGACTTAAATGTTAGACCTAAAACCATAAAAACCCTAGAAGAAAATCTAGGTAATACCATTCAGGACATAGGCATGGGCAAGGACTTCATGTCTAAAACACCAAAAGCAACAGCAACAAAAGCCAAAATTGACAAATGGGATCTAATTCAACTAAAGAGCTTCTGCACAGCAAAAGAAACTACCATGAGAGTGAACAGGCAGCCTACAGAATGGGAGAAAATGTTTGCCATCTACTCATCTGACAAAGGGCTTATATCCAGAACCTACAAAGAACTCAAACAAATTAACAAGAAAAAAACAAACAACCTCATCAAAAAGTGGGCAAAGGATATGAACAGACACTTCTCAAAAGAAGACATTTATGCAGCCAACAGCCACATGAAAAAATGCTCAGCATCACTAGCCATCAGAGAAATGCAAATCAAAACCACAATGAGATACCATCTCACACCAGTTACAATGGCAATCATTCAAAAGTCAGGAAACAACAGGTGCTGGAGAGGATGTGGAGAAATAGAAACACTTTTACACTGTTGGTGGGACTGTAAACTAGTTCAACCATTGTGGAAGACAGTGTGGCAATTCCTCAAGGATCTAGAACTAGAAATACCATATGACCCAGCCATCCCATTACTGGGTATATACCCAGAGGATTATAAATCATGCTGCTATAAAGACACATGCACATGTATGTTTATTGTGGCACTATTCACAATAGCAAAGACTTGGAATCAACCCAAATGTCCATCAATGACAGACTGGATTAAGAAAATGTGGCACATATACACCATGAAATACTATGCAGCCATAAAAAGGATGAGTTCATGTCCTTTGTAGGGACATGGATGCAGCTGGAAACCATCATTTTCAGCAAACTATCGCAAGAACGGAAAACCAAACACTGCATGTTCTCACTCATAGGTGGGAATTGAACAATGAGATCACTTGGACACAGGAAGGAGAACATCACACACTGGGGCCTGTTGCGGGGTGGGGGGAAGTGGGAGGGATAGCATTAGGAGATATACCTAATGTAAATGACGAGTTAGTGGGTGCAGCACACCAACATGGCACATGTATACATATGTAACAAACCTGCACATTGTGCACATGTACCCTAGAACATAAATTATAATTAAAAGAGTAAAATAAAAAAAGAATGGCCATAATAAAAAAATCAACAAATAATAAATGTTGGTGTGGATTCGATGAAAAGGGAACACTTCTATGCTGCTGGGGGGGAATGTAAATAGTACAACCACTATGAAAAACAGTGTGATGATTCCTTAAAGAACTAAAATTAGAACTACCATTTGATCCAGTAATCCCACTACTGGATATCTTCCCAGAGGAAAAGAAATCATTACATGAAAAAGATACTTACATGCATGTGTTCATAGCAGCACAATTTGCAATTGCAAATATACAGAACCAGCCCAAATGCCCATCAATCAATGAGTGGATAAAGAAATTGTGTATATATCTATATGATGTAATACTACTCAGTCATAAAAAGGAATGAATTAATGGCATTCACAGCAACCCGGAAGGAACTGGAGACTATTATTCTAAGTGAAGTAATGCAGGAATGGAAAACTAAACATCATATATTCTCACTCATAAGTGAGAGCTAAGCTATGAGGATACAAAAGCATTAGAATTGATACAATGGACTTTGGGGACTCAGGAGAAACAGTGGGAGTGGAGTGGGGGATAAAAGACTACAAATTGCATTCAGTGCATACTGCTCAGGTGCTGGGTGCACCAAAATCTCAAAAATCACCACTAAAGAACTTACTCATATAACCAAATATCACCTGTTCCCCAAAAACCTACAGAAATAAAAGATTTTTCTTAATGTAAAAAAAAAAAAAAAAAAAAAAAGAAGTCAAGTGAGGTGAGTACATATCTCAACTGGTGATCAACAGGGAAACGAGAGAACCACATCACTTGGGCAAGGAGCCCTTTCCCAAAGCCAGAAGGTAAATAAGCTCCCTTCTGCACCCAGACACCATCTTGGGCAGGAAGACCCTTTAGAAAATAAAACAGCTCCAAAAGGAAGTTTGGATTTTAAATTGCTTAAATATGATTATATATACAACCACAAAAATAAAGCAGTTAAATTGGAATAGGTTCATTTACCTTCAAATCACACACTTTAAAAAAAAATAGTTTTCCAAAATCATTGGAAATTTAAGTAGCTCCAGTGTTAGCCGAGGTCAGTCATAGAAATGCCGACGCTAGGCTTGTTGCAGACTCACTCCAGGTTAATTCAATTTGGGCCTTACTCTGTATAAAGTGCAAGTGTCCACTTCTAATGTCTCAGTTTGAAATGCTCAAGCTTGCTCAGTTCAACTCACCACCCTCCTGACTAGGTGTCCAAGGAGTCCTTTGGTCTTAGAGTTATCCTGGAGACAGAGGTAGGTTACAAATCAGGGAGTAGCTTCCTCTGATTGCTGCAGAGTAAAGGAGAGAGGACTCAGCTGGGCACCCACAGTGGCTGTGATTCACCTGCAGGACGCTTAAGGCCAGCACTGAAGCTCCCAGTACAGACCAGGACCATCAGGGTGGGGCGTGGAACTTCTCTGGCAGTGACCTCCCTGCTAGCTCTTGTGTTCACCTCCACACATACACTTCTTCCCCTTTCCTCAGCCAATTTAACCTATGTCCCCTTTCTCCTGTTGCCACAGCAGAAAAATTCTATTTTCTCTTTTTCTGACACAGAAGCTATTAATGGCTAACAGGAATGATAATCCATTAAACCTGAACCCCAGAGCATTGATTCCTTTCCTCAAAGTCAGGAAGAGCTTTCTCCAGAAACAGTATTTCCAGATCTCCCATTCCTGAAAGAGAAGGGAGAGGTTTGCTTTCCACGCTAAAGAAGGTTGCCCAAACATTCACTACTACCTTCCTCCCATGCCCAACAAGACAAATGACTTCCAGAGAAAAGGGAGAGAACTAAGAGAAAGAGAAAGAAAGAAAGCTTGAAGGAAGGAGGAAGGCAGGAAGGAAGGAAAGAAGGAAAAGGAAGGAAGAAAAGAAAGAAGGGAAGACAGAGAGAGAAAGAAAACGAAAGAGAAAGAAAGAAAGAAAGAAAGAAAGAAAGAAAGAAAGAAAGAAAGAAAGAAAGAAAGAAAGAAAGAAGGAAGGAAGGAAGGAAGGAAGGAAGGAAGGAAGGAAGGAAGGAAGACAAATCCAAGATGAGTTTGGGGGCCAAAACAGATTAGTAAAACAAGGTAGTTAACCAAAAAAGAGAAAATAAGGTATTCAGACAAATGGGGGCCCCAACCCAGGAAAAAGGCAAAGAGATGTCCCATAATAAGAATGAAGAGAAGGCCCGGCATGACAGCTGACAGCCACAGGCCTAGAGAAGCCAGTCTAGACTGCAGCAGGAGGGCAGAAAGCTCTGGAAGGGAGGTTTGGTCTCCAGGAGGAAACAGAATTAGTAGATTACCTAATATTGTCCAAATTATGACATTGCTGTATTTGTGGTAGTCAGAGAAGGGAAAGCGTGTGTGTCTGTGCATGTGTGTATCTCTGTGTGTGTCTACATGAGTGTGTGTGTGCGTGCGTGTGTGTGTGTAAGAGGGCAAGAAAGAGACACAGAGAGAGAGAAACTAGAGAGAAAGAGAAAGATTGAGGTAAGACCCCATCTACCCTGAAAAGAAGCCAATAAATAATGTCTGAAATTGATAAATCCAGGGAAATGGCAGCATAGCCATGTTGTTCAAAAACATGGCATCAAACACCAGCATGAGCAATTAGACAGTTGAAAGTGGTTGCCTCAGGGGAGTGGGCATCAGGAGAAGTGAAGGTTGAGCAAGGGCTTCTGCTTTTCATTTAAGCTGTGGAGGATTAAAGATGGCCACAAGTGACACCCTTCACGTGAAGGGATGGGGCGCATCTTCCATCCCCAAGAATTTGGGCTGGCCTCTGCTACTTACCAATAACGTACCAGTGGACAGGACAGTTCCCCATGATCAGTCTTGCTTTTTAAGAGGATTAGAAGCTTCCACCATGGTCTCTTGAATCCATGAATCATAATTCCAGAAGACCAAACACATTGCTCAAGAAAACATGCAGACAGGCCCTGAGACTGCAGAAAAAGAGAGAAAGAACTAGCTCAGCCCAAACTTCTGGCCACCCAGATCAATCAACCGGCATTCTAAACAAATAGCCCTCTGTGAGGTAAGGTGTTGTGGGAAACGGTAGCTGTGCCACTCTGGTTTCCCAGTAGCTAACCCTTAGCAAATAGTGACATCTCTAACACTTCTGTTTAGAATGTGGAGATACTTGGGCCTGGCGCAATGGCTCACACCTGTAATCCCAGCACTTTGGCAGGCCGAGGTGGGTGGATCCACAGGGTGGAAGCGGGCATGAGCAAGTTGCTCCAGAGCCCAGTTACAGAATTTTTGGGGGTTTAAACACACTCTAGAAGTTTCCACCGGTTACTTGGTGTATGCTCTATGTAAATGAAGAGGCTAAAGTGAAGTTAAAAAGTTATTTACTTGGTGTACGCCCTATGTAATGAAGAAGATATTTCCTGTCATAGCTAAGGTGTTTCTTTTGATTTAGTTCTAGGAAGTCTTTAGGTTCCCTGCCTCCAGGTCCTATTCTCCTGCCTCAGGATGACAGTATCACAATGGGAAAGCCTCATCTTCTGACCAAGACGGGACCCGGCAGAACTAGAAACTGCAGTACAAACCAGAAGGGCAGCATGGGCCTTGCTTCATTTTATATTTGGACTATGTATGACATAAAGGTTTTTTTTACCTTCTAATTGTCTTCCTTTTATTATTTTGCTGACTATAGAGAAATATACTTTTAAGATATTAAGATGCTCTGTGTGTTTAATTACACAAGCTGGGAATGGACACCACTTTTTAAAAGATGTTCTTTACAGAGCCTCTGTCTTCCTGTTCTATTATGTGCTATTATCGCATTCTGAGCTTTCAAGGAAAGCAGTTGCAGGATGACTCCTGGCCTCTAGCGATCTTCCTGCCTCTTTCTCCCAAAGTGCTGGGATTACAAGGCATGAATCCCAAATGTAGCTGCAGGATGGTTGCAACTGATTTCCACTGAACTCCTGGCTTCTGTTTCTGAATGCTGTATCTTTTTAAGTTCTTTATTTTTTTCTCCAGTAAACATCCCTGGGTAATTTTTTAATGGAAAAAAAAATGACTATTTTGAAAATATTGGAAAATGTCTTTATTTTTTCCCTGTACTGGATTGATAGTTTGGCTGGGTAACAAATTCTAGGTACAGAGTCATTTTCTTTCAAAAGTTTGAAGGTATTGCTTGTGTCCTCATTATCCGTATTTGTTGATGAGACATTTAATAATCACATTTTTATTTAAAATGATATATTATTTTATTCTCTCTTCACACATTTGTGATTTTTCTCTTTGTCCTTGGAACTTTGTGACTTATTTGTGCCCTCTGACAAGCTCCCTAATGTACTTTTATTTATTTAGTTATTTTTTTTAGAGACAGGGTCTCACTCTGTTACCCAGACTGGAGTGCAGTGTCACAATCATAGTTCACTATAACCTTGGACTCCTGGGCTCAAGCAATCCTCCCACCTTAGCCTCCCTGAGTAGCTCGGACTACAGGCACATGCCACCATGTCCAGCTAAGTTTTTTTTTTATTTTTGTAGAAACAAGGTCTCGCTATGTTGCACAGTTTGGTCTCAAATTTCTGGCCTCAAGTGACCCTCCCACCTCTGCTTCCCAAAGTGCTGAGATTACAGGAATGAAACCCAAATGTAGTATTTCTCTCATGCAAGATTGTAACTTCACCTTTCTGACATTATGACTTGGGGAATCTAACTCATGACAAAGCCCACAGTTATTTGATACTCCCGTTGTCAGACACTCCATTTCTACTGTGGTAGCATTCTAGAAGCTGTTTTTCAAATGGTGAGTACCTCTCTGATACGCTAATTTGTGCTCATTCTAGATGTCTTTCCTGCATACCACTTACTAGGGCTTTCCAGAAACTCTACACATCATCCCTACCCAGCATGATTACTCCTAATTCCATTGGATATGCCTGGTCTTCTGGCCTAAGCAGTAAAGTAGCTTGCACTACAGGCTGCACCTGCTTCTGAGTCTTCTTTGAGCTCCACTCAAAATAGTCTCCCAACTTACCTAAGAAATTAGAGCAGTATTCTGAAGTAGAATATGTACTGTCACTACAGTCCAAAGACACCTATTGCTACTGTGTTCTTTTTTGGGGGTGAAAAGTTTGAAGTACAATAATATTTGCTTTACCTTAAAGGGGATATCCCTGCATAGCCCAAACCACTGAGTCCCTAAAATCTTCATAAGTATGGCAGACCCCTAAATCATTGTAGGATTTATCTCCCAGGCTATGACCCATGGGTCTTGCCAAGGTATCCAGAGTACTTCCCACTTCCTTGCACCAACACAATTAACATGATGTCATAAATATAATAAATACTATGATGCTCTGTGGAACGTTAAGATACACAAAGTTCCTTCCTACTATACTGTGACAAAAACCTGAAGAGTTAAAATAACCTTGCAGCATGGAATGTATTTTGCTGTCTTTTCTGCATAAATATCCTCTGCTTTGATCCTCTTTCCAGATGGGAAAAGAAAACATTTGCCAGATCAACAACTGAAACCAGCGTCGCAAAATTATAACTGAGACGTTGAAAGAGATCTGACCTAACCGACTCCATCTTGCTTCTAACCTCCAAGCTGTCTTTGTTTGTTCCTGGGTGTAGGCTGATCTAACTCTGGGAGAAACTTAGTTTACAGTTGAGAACAAAGATGATAACAGCCCTCTCCCAAAACAAATCCACTTCTTGCCTGGGGACTAGACTGCCTTTGTAAGACTAACAAATTAGCCAAAAGATTAGAAATTATGGTTTAGGAGTCATGCAGCTGGAGACTATAAGATTCTGAACCTCCTCAAATTGCACTTGGGGATAACATGACTCTTACAAAGCTAAGATCAGTGTTTGAGGTATTTTGCAGACTCTGCACTCGATGGATCAACTGGCACACTCAGATCAATAAACTGGCTCATCTGCTCTTGTAACCCTCACTCAGGAACCAACTCAGTGCAAGGCAGCTTCAACTCCCTGTGATTTCATCTCCGACCCAACCAGTCAGCACTCACAACTCATTGGCTGCCACCCACCCACCAAATTATCCTTAAAACATCTGATCCTCAAATGTATGGGGAGACTGATTTGAGTAATAACAAAACTCAGGTCTCCCTCACAGCCAGCTCTGTGTGAATTACTATCGCAATTCCCCTGTCTTAATAAATCAGCTCTGTCTAGGTAGTGGGCAAGGTGAACCCACTGGGCAGTTACACAATCACATACCAAGTGCCAGAGGCTGGACCTGGACCTGTGATACTATGCTCTAATAAGATACTGCTTTGGGGGCTACCATTTGGCTCAGTTCATCGTCACCCATCTTGATCCATCTGATTTTTTTCAGGGATGATAGCAGTAAACTGAATGGGAATATGATGGGAACCACCACTCCTGCATTCTTTAAATATTCAAAAATGGTATTAATTTCTGCAATTCCACCCAGGATATAATATTGCTCTGATTTATTGTCTTGGCTTGAGAAACAATCTCAGGGATGATAGGATTTTAGAATAGCAGAAGCCAAGTAGTTGCCTTAACCAATTGGCCCTTCCTACCCATAAAGGTTCTTACTCACAGGTCAGTGAAACAATATGAGCATTCTTCCAATTGCAAAGAATATCAATCCCAATTATGCCCAAGAGGACTGGGGAAATGATCACAGGTTGGATTTCTGGACCCATTGTACATATTGTTAGGTAGATCTGGGCCAAGACTCCACGTGTCTCCTCTGTAATCATGGAGCCATGAAAGCATTTTCAGATCCCCTGATACCAGCATCAGTTCAGATCCTATGTCCAAAAGCTCTCAAAAGTCTTCCTCTTTCTATAGCATACAATTACTCTGTTAAACAGCTACAGTTTCCTTTGAGTTAGGATTGATATAAGTATATTGTATATGCTTGCAGTGGCATTGAGGGGTCTTTCCTTAGGCAGACACAGCCTCTCCTCCAATTGGTGGTCTCTGATCACGAGAATTGACTAAGCTGGAAACTGAACTAGAGATTGCAGTTTTTCCAATATGGTAGCTGATATCAGTTTTCTTCACAGCAGCTCTTGATATTTTTTTCTGTGTGTATAAGCCAAGCAATGTTCTAGCTCACCCTTTATCTCATTCACCCCAGGAAAAATAGAGTCTTTGAGACATTGCCACAGATCTGTGCAGGACTCAGTGTCCAGATGCAACTCTGGTCTTTCTGCCTGGCATGATAATTACATTCACCATGATACTGATGGTTAAATGCTACTACCTGACCTCTGCTATTCTGGAATTACATCATCACAATTGACACTCTAGAACCCAGTTCCACACAGAATGGAGCCTTAAGCATCCAGCCATTGGGGTGTACCACTCCTATCTCCTTTAAAGGAAGAAATTGCCATGAGGAATGTAGTTATCTGACAGCCTCCAGCTGCCTCAACTTTGAGGTCTTTCGCGGCATTCACTCAAAGTCCACATAGTCCTGGTCAAAGACCAAACATGGCAAAGTTTCTAGAGCTGGTCCATTCTTGTTCATCATGGGATTCCTCTAATGGAAAATCTTTCCCCAAGGGCTCCCCACCAGCCTAGCCAAACTTTCTCTGAGACTCTTAGCTATTATGATGCTACTTCCACCAGGTTCTTGTTGCTATCTGGCTATTGAGTGATTCATTCCCACTAAACAATGTCAACTTGATTGTCCTTCTTAGATTTTAAGAAACAGGGTCTTGCTTTGCCACCCAGGTTGGAGCACAGTGGTGTGATCATAGCTCACTATAGCTTCCAACTCCTGGGCCTTAGCAATCCTCCTGCCTCAGCCTCCCAAGGAGCTACAGCTGCAGGCATCCGCCACCACTGATTGAGAGCCACTTCCAGTACTCACTGTCTTGGACACAGACTCGAGTGAAAGTGCAGGTAGTTTCTTTGGGAAATGATCTCAGGAAGCAGGTAATGAAGTAGGAGAGATAAACGAAAAGTTCTGTCTAGAAGCTCTGAAGGAGAAACTATCCCAGGTCCCTCTCCAAGCTTGTAGTGGCTGCAGGTAATCCTTGCTGATCTTGGGCTTATGGATCCATCACTTCAATCTCTGCCTCTGTCTTCACATGGCTTCTTCCCTGTGTATGTTTGTGTCTCTGTGTCCAAGTTTTCATCTTCCTATAAGGCACAAGTTATTGGATTAGGGACCATCCTAATTCAGTATGGCCTTATCTTAACTTGATTACATCTGCGAAGACTCTATTTCCAAATAAAGTCACATTCTGAGGTTCCTGGGAGACATGGATTTGGGGAAACACTCTTCAACCCACTACAGGCTCCAAAGACAAATAACTAATCACATAGTTCTGTCCTTTTGGCCACATGGATATGTGGCTTCAGGGACCAACAGAGTAACTGTTATTATACACATTATCTTGTTATAATAACTGTTATTAAGCACATTTATCATGATTTACATCATTGGATAAGTGAACAGTCGAAGTGTTCTCCTAACATGTGCCAGAGCCAAAGCACAATGGTAAACCAGGCCAAGAGCATTCTTTAGTTCAGTGATTTCCAAACCCTTTACCCACAGAATCCTTTGTTCAAATGACATTTTATTAGGGGTGTTCAGACAAACATAATGGATGAAAGCTGTTCTTGCAGAAACAGGGCTGGCAGGACCAGAGGCTCCCCGCTCCTGGGTCAGATTATGCAGTAAGGAGCTTCACAGAATATGACTGGAAATCCACATACACATTTTTCTGTTTAATTCAGGAAGCAGTTGCTAAACACAACTAACAGAGCAAAGTAAGTACGTAGGGCTAAGAGAAGAAGTAGAGAGAAGAACAAAATGAATTGAGGAAAGACTAGAAAGGAGATTGCTGTGGGCACTTTAAGTATTTGGATCCAAAAAGGAGAGGAAAAGTCTGAGAATACTAATCTGTGGCTTCCTGGAGATCCCAGAAGAAAAGGTAAAAGGATGAAGAAGAAAGGGAAGGAAGAAGCTACTTATACAATGATTGAAAGTGGTAGCTGGTGTTTTATGGCTTCTTGGATAAAGCTCTAAAGTTTCCGGAGTCAACTTCGAGTCAATTAGCTATACAGGGCAAGCATGTTTACACTGAATGGCTTAGAGATCTTCCCAAATAAGTAGATAAACAGAAGACTTTAGTCTCCAGCCTCATGAATCTAATACCTTTTGTGAGCATTTAGCTTGTATACAAAGCCAAATAAAAGCATTCTATCTAAATAAATCGATAATAATTTATATCTTCTGATCTCTCCAAAGAGAAATGTTTATATGCGGAGAAAATAAATAAATAACATGACATTTAAAGGAATAAACAATTCTACTCCACAACACACAGGGCAAAGTGAGATACTAAGCCATTCAATGAGTCTAGCGTCTTTACCAAAGAGGGAATGTATCTGTCAAGATGCCAATGGATTAAACTTTTCTAAGAAAACATTTTAATTTGTTGTCGGAAATAGTTTTATATCTAACTTATTGATTCTCACATGTTGAAACTAGCTGAGCCTAATAAGGAACTAAGTATAAGTTGGAAACCATTCGGCTATCAAAATACTGCTAAGTAGTATTACAATAATTTCATGAAAATGCCTGAATAAGATATTTTGTTCAGCAAATGCTATGCCACAAATACCACCTCAATGACTAATTTCTTTCAGTGCAAGGTTCTCCGTGTACAGGTGACTCTTAATCTTTTTTGGATCATGGATCCCTTGGAAGTCTAGTGAAGAAATCTCTTGAATGCATTTGTTAATGCATATGAACACCAATTATATTAAAACATAGTTATTAAAATAATTTTTAAAAAACAAATCTGTGATGAGACAATATATGTTCTCTTTATTAACACATTAGATAATAAAATCTAGGGGCAGGTTATCTAACTATCCTAATTTCACATAGTGATGGGCATAGGTGGTTTTTGTTTTTTGAGTTTTGCTTTTTGTTTTTTTGTTTTTTGTTTTTTGTTTTGGCGGGGGGGTACCAAATCTTGCTCTGTCGCCCAGGCTGGAGTGCAGTGGTGCAATCTTGGCTCACTGCAACCTCTGCCTCCCGGGTTCAAGTGATTCTCCTGCCTCAGCTTCCCGAGTAGGTGGGATTACAGGCATGCACCACCATGCCTGGCTAATTTTTGTATTTTTAGTAGAGATGGGTTTCACCATGTTGGCCAGTCTGGGCTCTAACTTCTGACCTCAAGTTATCCACCCGCCTTGGCTTCCCAAAGTGCTGGGTTTACAGGCATGAGCGGCTGCCCCCAGCCTGAGCATAGATAGTATTTTGTGAGATTTGTCAGTAACTACTATGATTTGAATATATCTGTGATTTCTATTGGTGACAAAGTCATAGGTACTGCTATTACCACTATGATGTGTTTTTTATATTCATAACTGAAGCAAATGTTAATTTTAAGTTGGAAATGAATAAAAATAAAAATGCAATTTTTTTCCATCCACATACTTAGACCCCCAGTCTCTCACTCCCTCCATGAGGCTCTCTTTGATTTCAAAAGTTCTCCTTTTCTCAGTAGCCACAAGGGGCAAGAGACCTGGATGAAGAAATACCCTCAGAAACTCCCACTCTTCTGGTTCCTGCTCAAGGCTGCACTAATAAAAGTTATTCATACCTACCTGCACCATCTTGGCTGGGAAGTCAAGGTATAGCAGAAGACTGAGTATCTGGGCTACCCGGCCTAGGAACTTGGGAAGGAGGCTATTGACACCGGTAGCAGAGATTCAAAGTAACAGAGATGGAGGGGAGGGTAGAATTTATCTGGTGTCTGTTAGGAAAGCACAGCGCAGGGCAGTAGTGAAGAGAGGGGCTTCATAGGCACTGCAACTGACCAAACCACTGCAGTCTCCCAAGTGGAGCAAGCACTGTAGTGGCCTGAATGTTTGTGTCCCACAAAATGCATATATTGAAGCTTTATCCCTACAGTGACGGTGTTAGGAGGTGTGACCTTTAGAAGCGATCAGGTCATGAGTGTGAAATCTTCATGAATGAGATTAGTGCCCCTATTAAAGAGACCCCAGAGATCTTTCTTGCTTTCTTTCCTCCATATGAAGACACAAGAAGAAGATAGCAGCCTGCAATCCAGAAGAGGGCCCTCACCAGGACCTACCATGCTGGCACCCAGACCACACTTCCAGCCTCTGGAACTGTGAGAAATAAGTTTCTGTTGTTTACAAGCCATGCAGTCTACTATAGTTTGTTAGAGCAGTGTGAACGAACTAAGTCAGGTACCCCAGGGTGTTTCATGTGCTATGTCGAGGGGCCAAACATGTGCATTTGTTCAATGTCTCACTTATGGGGGGCCACTTTGTGCTAGGCGCTGTGCAAGATGCTGAGAGTAGACACCTTGGCTCTCATGGATCTGGAGCCTGGCACCTTCACTGCAGTCTGGTGACTGCATGAAATGCCCAGAGTCCCTCTATCTGATATATAAAAAAAAGAATAGAGAAGCCACAGTCCACAGCAGGGTGTGGTGACTGATGCCTATAATCCCAGCACTTTGGGAGGCCAAGGTGGGCAGATCACTTGAGGTCAGGAGTTTGAGACCAGCCTGGCCAACATGGTGACACCCCATCTCTACTAAAAACACAAAAATTAGCTGGGTGTGGTGGTGCACGCCTGTAGTTCCAGCTACTCAGGAGGGTGAGGCAGGAGAATCGCTTGAACCTGGGAGGTGGAGGTTGCAGTGAGCCGAGATCATGCCACTGCACTCCAGCCTGGGCAACAGAGCAAGACTCCATCTCAAAAAAAAAAAAAAAGAAAAAAAGAAAAGAATAGAGAATAAAGAAGACACAGTTGTTCCTAGAATAACTTCTGTTTATTTTCAGCCAACTGGGAACAAATAAAATCCAGGCCAAATTATTTTTGTCATTTAGCTTCAAAGACAGACAGCACTGCCATACATAACTCCAAAGATGTGTTGTCTTTGTCCCTGTGTGTCGCGCTACTAGCAGCATAGAGGGCTTCCCTCACAGCTTATTCTGTTAACTAGAACCAAAGATTCCAGGGCTACAAGTGATCTTTAAAAATCATCTAGTTGGCTGCGCGTGGTGGCTCGTGCCTGTAATCCCAGCACTTTGAGAGGCTGAGGCGGGTGGATCACCTGAGTTCAGGAGTTCAAGACCAGCCTGCCCAACATGGGGAAACCCCATCTCTACTAAAAATACAAAAAACTAGCCAGTCGTGATAGCAGGTGCCTATAATCTCAGCTACTTGGGAGGCCGAGGCAGAAGAATCACTTGAACCTGGGAGGTGGAGGTTGTGGTCAGCCCAGATCACACCACTGCGCTCCAGCCTGGGTGACAAGAGCGAAACTCCGTCTCAAAAAAAAAAAAAAAAAAAAACATCTAGTCCTACCCCCTCACTTTCAGAAGAGAAAATCAAATCCAAAAAGGTTAAATGAATTGCTAAAAGTTGAATCTCTAGCTAGGAGCTAGAATGCAAGTGCCCAGACCTTGTTGTAGTCCTGATGTTATATCATCAATGAGATCTCTATGCTAATTTCAGCATTAAAAGCCTCTACACGTGCACTGAATGGGTCCATCCACATACAGCAGCTGACTTACACATTTTCACTCAAGAGATTGTTGTTTCCCACTATCCTTTAAAACAACTATTCCATGACAACTAAAGAACTGATGATAGATATAAAAGATAGAGTGAAGGTGATGGTTAACTTTTTTTTTTCCGAGACAGAGTCTTACTTTGTCACCCAGGCTGGAGTGCAGTGGCACGATCTCAGCTTACTGCAACCTCTGCTTCCTGGGTTCAAGTGATTCTCCTGCCTCAGCCTCCCAAGCAGCTGGGACCACAGGCATGCACCAACACGCCAGGCTAATTTTTTTTATTTTTAGTAGAAACAGGGTTTCACCATGTTGGCCAGGCTGATCTTGAACTCCTGGTCTCATGCAATCTGCCTGCCTCTATCTCCCAAGGTACTGGGATTACAGGCGTGAGCCACTACACCCAGCCTAAATGTGATGGTTAATTTTATGTATCAACTTTACTGGGTCATTGGGTGCCCAGATATTTAGTCAAACGTTATTCTGGGTGTTTATGTGAGAGTGTTTTTTGGCGAGATTAACATTTAAATTGGTAGGCTGAGGAAAGATTACCCTCCCTAATGTGAGTGAGCCTCACCTAATCAGTTGAAGGGCCTGGTCAGAATAAGAAGGCTGATCCTCCCCCAAGTAAAAGAATTCTTTCCGCCTGGCAATCTTTAACATGGAGCTGGCTTTGTTTTTGTT